GGGGGGGGGGGGGGGGGGGGGAGAGGTGCGGGGGGTGGGCGGCGGCCGGAGGCTTTTTTGCCTGGGGCGGCAAAAAAGCCAGAGCCGGCCCTGGTCACTAGCAAGGCATTGTGAAAGGCAACCCAGGCTGGAGAGAGTTCAGGGGGCCCAGCGGTCCCACAGTCCCAGGCTGCAGCCTGGGGAACCTGTCACAGTCACTGTGTGCCCAGTGCCGAGCCCAGGGAATGGATGAGGATCTCTGTTTGTAACAGCTTTATGGGCCAGATCCTCAACTGGTGTGAAGTGGTGCAGTGCCCTGGAAATCAGCTGAGGATCTGGCCCCAGGGTTTTAGAATGGGGTGGCGGCATCCCAAAATGCAGGGCCGCCCAGAGGGGGGGGGGCAAGTGGGGCAATTTGCCCCAGGCCCTGGGCCCCACAGGGGCCCCCCACGAGAATACAGTATTCTATAGTATTGCAACTTTTTTTTTATGGAAGGGGCCCCCGAAATTGCTTTTCCCCAGGCCCCCTGAATCCTCTGGGCGGCCCTGCCAAAACCAACAAGAGAGAGTCATTCACTGCTTCCCCACCAGAAAGGGCCCAGGACTCACATTCAGCTCAATTATCCACAGCAGAGAGACAAACAGCAGGTCGAAGGTGACAAAGAGGCAGAAAGTCCTCCTGACGTCCGAGATGGCTCTCCTCTTCTCCGGGGGGAAGTAGTAGTGCGGGGAGAAGCCCTGGCTCTGTGAGAGGGAGGTGCTCATGGACGCAATGGCTGGGAGGCTCCGCTCCAGGTCATGCTGCAAGTCTCTGGGCTTGTTCATCCTGGGCTGAAACAACGACATCCGGCAGCGATCGGGGCAGCATCTGTGAGCTCGTCACCGTATCACCTGCGGGGAAGATGGAGGAGACCTTTAGACACTTAAGGGGATGCTTGGTTTGCTTTACTAGCTGAGACAATTCTTATTAACTGCCTTGCAGCCCCAAAGGATCCCAAGCTAGGAGACTGACCCCTCCAATATATTCAGCCCACAGAGATGATCAAGGGCAAACGGGAGCCAGCTGCCTCACTGCCTTCTTCACCTCTGAAAATCACCCCCACCCCCAATTCAACAGAATTAATTCCCCCAGCTATAAGCAATACCGGTAGGGGAGGCCAACTTTGCTCTTTGGTTTATGAGCGCTCGTGTCATCAGCAGGAAGCGTCCTGCCCCGTTTCACACTTGTCCTCCAAGCCTGTCAACATGCGCAGGAACCTCTTTTGCCTCCCTCAGCTTTCTGCCACACCCCACATTCACACTCGCTTCAGGGGAGTGAGGATGTGCCACAAAAGGGTCTGGTTGAAAGAGAGTCCCGGTGGTCACTAAGTGCAATTTCACTCCAAACTAAATCTGACCATGCTCTCCTGCTCCAGAGCACGCTTTGCCAGCCCAGAAAGCCGGCCTGCTTGCTTCTTTGACCGCAGAATCTTAGCCTTTGCCACCGACGCGATCAGGGTGGCATGGCCTTGGGGAAAGACGCGCATGAGATGTTTTTGCAGAGGCAGAGCGATGGGCAAGGGGTCCTTTAATATAGGGTTCCAGGAACAATCCCAAGCCACCCAGCTGTGGTGGAACAAGTCAGTCTAGTGGGGATGGATGGTCCCCAAGGATTAATCGTTCCACACGGCTCTTGGATATTCACGTTACTTTGCACCATTGACAGAAGTGTGGCCCGTGTTTAAGTCGCGTAGCGGAGCCGCTCCCTGTGCGCCTGAGTCAGAGCTGCTGACTACACAGACGCTTTTTTCAAAACTCCTGTTAGAACGGCAAAGTGAGGTGGATTTTATTCTGCCTCCTGTATTGACTGCCGACAGCCAAGCTCTGACTGCAGCATCTTTATTGCTGCACGTAGACTGAAGGAGAGAGAGAACAGCTGCATTTTCACACCCAGAGAAAGCTGGCGGTGCTGGGCATTTAGAATAGACCTCTAAGCAGAGCAAGTTTGATCAGGAAGGCATTAGGGCTGCCCTACAACACCTGCTTTAAATGCACTTGTGACCTGTTGCACTTGATCCTTTTTTTCCTTCTCTGTGGTCAACAGGAAAATGCCATGTTGCAATCATGTAAAGAACTGGGTTTAACCTTGGCAGGTACCGGCATCCTGCTTCCTAAAGGTGCAGCAATTCATGAATGCTGGATATGACTGGTCAGTGAGATCGTCACTCTCGTCCTACAGTGGGTTTTTAGAATGTCCTGTGTGACTGTAATGATCCAGCTTGATAGGGAGCTGTGGGAAGAGCAGACAGAAAGCAATGCAATAGATCTAGATAAGAACACCCCAGTGCGCAGGCACAAGACAGCGGGGCAAGCTGTCAGCTTCAAAGAGCCTGTCTCCAAGGAAGCTGCAAGTCTGGTTTTGCCCAAGCTAGGAGCCTGGAGACCAAGAGAAAAGAGTTTTAAAGTCCATTTTAAGGGGAGTCACTTGTCAACAGCTATGTATGGAGACAGGCTGCCAGAGAGAGGACGCAGAGGGAGTCTCTTCCAGGGAATAGCCAGCCTCGGGTAGACTTGGACACGATGTTTTCTCTCAAATGCTTTTGTTCTAATTTACTTTTTGCCACAAGGCGGCTTTCTGGTCACCGCATTAACCACAGTCATTGCTTGCGGAGGGAAAAGACTGTAGGGCCTGAGCCTACGACTTGGTCTACACTACAGAGTTAGGTCGCTGCTTACGTCGACCTAATTATGTCAGCGTCCACACTTGAGCCTTGCTCCCGCCGATGTAAGTGCCCTGCTGCACCGATAGAATAACTCCACTGCCACGAGATGCGTAAGGCTTATGTTGGTGTCGTTAGGGCAATGCCCTGTCTGTGTAGACACTGTGGGTTACTTATATTGGCTGTTGCCTGTCATTCTTGTCAATTTCATGGCTCCCCACTGGAGCCTGGCTCCCCGCTCTCAGCCGGGCTACACCCACCAGGCTCCCGGCTCCCAGCCGGGCTACGCCCACCCAGGTCCCCGCTCCCCACAGGCTCCCCGCTCCCAGCTGGGCTACGCCCACCCGGCTCCCCGCTCCCAGCCGGGCTCCTGGCAGTGGGGTGCTGGGAGCTCGGGGGGCAGCCGGGCTCCTGGCAGTGGAGAGTTTCTAGGATAGACATGCCCTAAGTGTGATATTCTGAGGCCATCACAGTTAGTACCATGGGCCTGCAATCCAGAGCCTGGTCTGAGAGTGGGAGAGCCAGGTGATACCACCCCGAGCCGGGTGACGGCTCAAGGCCTGCGAGCGGGTGCACCTGATGAGACCAGGACGGCTCAGAGGTGCAGTTTGCACAGTAACTGTGACAGGTATCTTAACATGGTTCAAATGTGTTTTTTCCTGTCCATATATGCAAGAAGCCGCCATGTTCTAACACTGATGGTGCTCCACCACGTTCCCCAGCTGTGTGGATCATTGTAGGACAGGAAGGGCCAGAGAGGGAATAAACACGGAGCCCTACAAGTCATTTTTACAGTCACGTTTCTGACAATAGCAGCACTTTAGAAGAGAGATGTCACTTTATATAAACAGTAATAACAAGCCCTTCCACTGCTACGAGTGATGGGGAAGAGTCTCTAACTGAAAAAAGTTAAGACATCTGTGAGTGCTAAATAATATATTGACACGTACACAGTGCCCCGTTCTCTACGTTAGAGTGTCATCGTGTTCTCAGCTCGAACAACACTTTGCACTTACAGTCCTCTGCAACTTCCAAGTACTTTGAAATCATCCATCAATTCCTCACAGCCGCCGCCCCCCAGCCAGATACATAAATAGCGGTACCCCCTTTTTTACAGCTGGGGATATGGGGTGGGAAGTAACTTGCCCAAGATCACACGCAACCAGGACTAAGATTTCAGAAATTCCTGGTTCCCACACCATGCTCTGTCTAAAATAGCTCACTGCCTTTCTAGAGAAAACCAAAAGAGACCTCGTTACTTCGTGGATTTTTTTTTTTTTTTGAAGACTTGACCTACTGCGAGACCAGCACGCTGATTAAGAACACGTGAGAGAAAACTAGCGATAGTCCACTTGTCCTTCGACGTACAAAGAGCAAGTCGAATTTTGCATTGAACCCAGCTAGAAACAGACCTGAGGGAAAGAGGACTTTTTGTTTCCAAGCAATTCTAAAGAGATGAATTCCAAAGCCCAGGGATAAGCACAGGTTACGGTACTGCAGAATTCTGATAAGCAAGTGAGCTTAGAATCTCATTAGAAGGTCTGATGTGATGCATTTCTTTTCTGGGTGCTCCCAACACAGGCCTGTCCCATTAGACAGGGATGGAGTTTGGAGAGGGAACAGCAGCACACCAGAGGGTGTTTTTTGTTTGTTTGTTTTTTTACACAAGCTCTCTTCTGTGTGAAAGATTAATTATGGAGCATCCGAGTGCTCCATTACATATTTATCTATTCTCTGAAGTCTCTCTTTTTGTAGCAGGATGTCAGCTCAATCCAGGGGAGAGAGACACTTGGTTTTATGGTGCTGCTCAGGGGGTGATGCTCGACTTCCAGGCAAGACAGGGTTTGAGAAAGAGCAGCAGAGAGAAGAGAAACAGCACTGGCTGCCTTGAGAACTTCCATGGGCAATGATAAGACTCAGAAAAGGCACCAGGAAGCTAGAATGTCCTATTGAAACTTTTCTGATTCAAAAAGCAGCGGTAACATTATTAACATCTTTAAGGAGGAGAGTTGGGTTTTTTTCTTACTCCTCAGAGTTCGTGTTTCAAGCACGGGCCGTACACTGGGATAATTCACTAACCAACTTTGTCCTCTCTGATGAGGAAGTGTTTCTAGTGATTTGAGCAGGAATTTGGGAGACAGGAGGCTCCTGCATCAAACATGAAGTACTTGTCTTAATTTTCAAGGCCTTTAATGACTTATCACATCATCTTTCATTCTCTGATCGAGATATTGACTCCTACCTCCGATGGGCCAACAGCAGCCTCTATTGCCCACTTGTTAGATTTTCAAACAAGTGCCTTCTTGCTTTCCCCCATGCTGCCCCTCACTGGCAGCATCCACAAACCTACTTCACTATCCTCCTGCAAATCCCTCCATAAGCTGAGACCACTGCCTGTCCTTCCAATCAGTACTGTCTTATTGTCTCCTTGTGCTCCCGCTTCTGTCTCCATCCACCTGTTGTTTCTCATCTCATACTTAAATTGTAAGCTCCTTGGGACAGACACCTTCTTTGTTCTGTGTCTGTACAGTGCTTAGCACAACGGGGTTCCAGTCCACGACTAGAGCTTCTCGGTGCTACTGCATACCGATAATAAAAACCCAGCTCCGCCACTGACTGTGTGGCCCTGGGTGAGTCACTTAGGGAAGCTGAGATAGGTATTGTGCACCTTGTACAGATATAAACTACCTCACACAGCTGTATTGCAAGAACTACTTGGTGTTTGTATGGTACTACTCAGTGCCAACTATCATCTAGAGATGCCAAGAACTCAAAGATAGTAGTTACATTGCAAGTGAAAGGGGACGTGCCTCACCCTAGCCAGCAGCAGATCAATATTCACCTCATAAAAACACCTCAGGATTCAGTGAGATTGGCAGTGGCTATTCATCTGTTTGAGAGGTCCAAGCCTGGAAGAGCAGACGGCGCTGCAGGTCAGGGTTGAGAGACACTCACATAGCACCTGTCCACACTACTCTGGGATCTCGCCAGCCCCTCCCTTTAGTCAGCTGCGAGTAGGGCCAAGAATCTGAACTTGTCAACAGACTTTTCAAGTATCAGATAAAGGTGAAGAGAACACCAAATGCAAACAACACACTGCCTTTCACGCAGATCTGTCCTACAAGGCCTGACGTGCTAACACACACAGATGTTATGACCCAAAAGGGACACCTGTGTCAAAACACTGCAGGG